AGGACCGTGAGATGCTTCTTACGGAGCCACTCCTTAGTTGCCCTGGCTGTGTGTTTCGGGTCGTTGTCATGCTGGAAGACCCAGCCACAAACCATCTTCAATCCTCTTACTGAGGGAAGGAGGTTGTTGGCCAAGATCTCGCGATACATGGCCCCATCCATCCTCCCCTCAATACGGTGCAGTCGTCCTGTCCCCTTTGCAGAAAAGCATCCCCAAAGAATGGTGTTTCCACCTCCATGCTTCACGGTTGGGATGGTGTTCTTGGGGTTGTACTCATCCTTCTTCTTCCTCCAAACACGGCGAGTGGAGTTTAGACCAAAAAGCTATATTTTCTTCTCATCAGACCAAATGACCTTCTCCCATTCCTCCTCTGGATCATCCAGATGGTCATTGGCAAACTTCAGACGGGCCTGGACATGCGCTGGCTTGAGCAGGGGGATCTTGCGTGCGCTGCAGGATTTTAATCCATGACGGCGTAGTGTGTTACTAATGGTTTTCTTTGAGACTGTGGTCCCAGCTCTCTTCAGGTCATTGACCAGGTCCTGCCGTGTAGTTCTGGGCTGATCCCTCACCTTCCTCATGATCATTGATGCCCCACGAGGTGAGATCTTGCATGAAGCCCCAGACCGAGGGTGATTTACCGTCATCTTGAACTTCTTCCATTTTCTAATAATTGCGCCAACAGTTGTTGCCTTCTCACCAAGCTGCTTGCCTATTGTCCTGTAGCCCATCCCAGCCTTGTGCAGGTGTACAATTTTATCCCTGATGTCCTTACACAGCTCTCTGGTCTTGGCCATTGTGGAGAGGTTGGAGTCTGTTTGATTGAGTGTGTGGACAGATGTCTTTTATACAGGTAACGAGTTCAAACAGGTGCAGTTAATACAGGTAATGAGTGGAGAACAGGAGGGCTTCTTAAAGAAAAACTAACAGGTCTGTGAGAGCCGGAATTCTTACTGGTTGGTAGGTGATCAAATACTTATGTCATGCAATAAAATGCAAATGAATTACTTAAAAATCATACAATGTGATTTTCTGGATTTTTGTTTTAGATTCTGTCTCTCACAGTTGAAGTGTACCTATGATAAAAATTACAGACCTCTACATGCTTTGTAAGTAGGAAAACCTGCAAAATCGGCAGTGTATCAAATACTTGTTCTCCCCACTGTAGATGTGATGTAAACACATTGGTTTGATAGTCCTGGGGCCGTATGTATCCTATCATGCCTCTCAGAGTAGGAGTTCTGATTTAGGATCAGCTTTGCCTTTTAGATCATAATGATTAGCAGTCGTAGTCTGAGACACTTGATACATACAACCCCTGGTGTGTACTACACACCACATCAAACATTATAATTGTGTTCAGAAAGTAGTACCAGCTGTTCTCAATGGAACATCATAGGAGTGATAATGAGTCTGATACCAACTCTTAGAATCAGAGTCATATCCTCTCTCCTCTCTCTCTCTTCTCTCCCTCTCTCACTTCTCCCCCTCTCCCTTCTCTCGCTCTCCTACTCTCTCTCACTCCCCCCCCCCCCCCCCCCCTCTCTCTCTCTTGTCGGAGTGCATGCTGGGAGTGAGTCGGGAAGCAAGAGCGATTGTGGGAGTGACTAAAATGTTTTCATTCTATTGGGTTTTGGTGTTTTCTGTGTGTGTGTATATATATTGATTAGTGTAGTTGTTTTAAGGTTGTCTTGTCTCACTGTCACTAAGAACGTGCAGGGGTGGTGTGATCGTTGAGGTTGTTTTTCTCGAGGGCGCAACCAGCGGGTGGGGCAACCAGTGCCCTCTCCCTCTCCACCCTCTCTTCTCTCCCTCCCCCTCTTCCCCCTCTCCCCCCTCTCTCTCTTCTCCCCCCTCTCTTCTCTCCCCCTTCCCCTCTCTCTCCCTCTCCCCCTCTCTCTATTATCTCCATCTCTTTCTCACTTCTCTTTCCCCCCTCTCTTTATCTTCTCTCCCTCTCTCCTCTCTCTCACTACTCTCCCTCTTTCACTCTCTCCTATCTCTCTCTTCTCTCCCCCTCTCTCTCACTTCTCTTTCTCTCCTCCTCTCTTTCTTCTCTCTCACGTCTCGCCTCTCTCTCACTTCTCTTCTCCCCCCCTCACTAAACCATCTCTCGTACTCTTCTTCTCACCTCTTCCCCACTCTACTACACTTCTTCCCTCTCCTCCTCTCTTCTCTCTCTCTCGCCCCCCTCTTTCCTCGCCGCCCTTACTCTCCCCCTCTCTTTTCTCCCTCTTCCCCTCTCTCTCTATTCTCTCCCTCTCTCCTCTCTCCCTCTTCCCTCTCTCTCTTCTCTCTCCCTCTCTTCTCTCCTCCCCCCTCTCTCTTTCTCCCCCCTCTCTCCCCCCCCCTCTCTCTCTTCTCCTCCTCTCTCTCTCTCTCTCTCTCCTCTCCCCCTCTCTCTCTTCTATCTCTTCTTCTCTCCTCTCCTCTCTCTCTCCTCTCCCCCCTCTCTCTCTTCTCTCCCTCTCTCCTCTCTCTCTAAGGTATGTATAATATGTTAGTGAGCATAGGAACATTTTCTACCGTTGTGCCTAAGAGCAGTCCTAACTTGTTTCTCTCTGTGAGTCTGGGCCCTTTTGTGTGTGTCAGCTGTTGATCTCAATGATTGGGAAAATGATACAGTGTTCTCTACACACAGTGTCCATTTGGCCGTGATCCCACTCTCTAAAAGGTTTGTCTCAGGGAGAGTTGGGATATGCAATAAAACACATTTCCAATTCACACGTGTATAATACACACTTGTACATGTGTGAAATAGGACAGACATAAGCACCCACCAAATTATTATAATACTATTTTTATTATTCGACATTGTCTGTTGCTTACAAATAGAGTTGTGACAGCGCGGCAATGGCAATGTCCATGCAAAAATGTGTCCTCTAGCTAACTCTATGGTGCTACAGTACAGCACACCTGATGGGTCTACTAGCTAACTCTATGGCTCTACAGTACAGCACACCTGATGGGTCTTCTAGCTAACTCTATGGCTCTACAGTACAATACACCTGATGGGTATTCTAGCTAACTCTATGGCTCTACAGTACAATACACAGAAGTCTCCCTGAAATGTCAAAAACTCTGCACATCTATTTTCTCACTCTACCTGTTACCCAGCTTAGCCAAAAGTTCACATCTAAGCATTGCTTGATATTTAACGCATGAATGACTGTCATTGTAGAAATTAATTAATTGACCCCCACACCATCGTACACACTCACATACACTCTATAATCACTCATAATTATAGCAGAATTACAAGACAAACTACTGTGAGAGTGCAAAGAGGTTCATTTGGCGTGTGTGTGTGTGTGTGCGTGCGTGCATCTGTGTCTGTGTGCGTTAGTGCAAGATGATAAATTGTTATTTTACTGAGTAGGCCTAGTGGTTAAGAGTGTTGGGCCAGTAACTGAAAGGTTGCATGTTTGAATCCCCGAGCTGACTAGGTGAAAATGTGTCAATGTGCCTTTGAGAAAGGCAGTCAACCCTAATTGCTTCTGTAAGTCGCTCTGGATAAGAGTGTCTGCTAAAAGACTAATTTTATTTTTTATATCTTCGACGTGTATTGACTTTCTGTCAAGTTATTACTTGATACGACAAGATAAGACAACAACATTAAGATATACTTAGATGTGCAATGTACTGTAATATTTGCATATAGCTATGTACAGTATACAATGTGTGCGTGTGCACCGTGGGAGGAGCTATAGGAGGAGCTATAGGAGGATGGGCTCATTGTAATGGCTGGAATGGAATTAATGGAGTGGAGTCAAACATGTGGTTTACATATGTTTGATGTGTTTGAAACCCCATTCCACTTTTCCAGCTCCAGCCATTACCATGAGCCCGTCCTCCCAAATTAAGGTGCCACCAATCTCCTGTGATGTGGACGCACGTGAGTTCATGATTATTACAGGTGTGCGTGCATAGGATAAGAAAAGCCTATACGATACCATATGTACAGTTGCAAGGAAAACACAGGATAGATTAGATTGTCATGTTACTATTAGACCCATATATTCTCACACCATGGCCTTCTCCATCCCAAACACTAAGATATAGGATTGTCTGAAATAGCACCTTATTCCCAATAGGTCCTGGTCAAAAGTAGTGCACTACCTAGGGAATAGGGTGCCATTTTGAAGGCAGATAGTGATTTGAAAAAGTCCTCGGAGTGAGGTAGAATGATTTCTCAAACAAACATTGTAGATACAAGACTTAGTGTTTGTTTTACCAGTCAAGTCTGGTCTTGCTGGTTAGGAATTAGAAACCTGTTACAATTCCTTAACACTCCTCCCATTGTTTCAACCTCAGACCAATAAAAACACAGACTTTTGGAAGAAATAACATACAGTTTCGGGGGAATTATGTCTGTTGCTTTGAAGTTTATTCAGTAAGCTAAAAGATTGAAATAAAAGCAGAATTTGAAGTCAGGTAAGTCAGGTAATTTAGAGTAGTAGGCCTGTGCATGCACACACACACACACACACACACAGACACACGTATACACACACGCATACACACCCACACATGCACGTACACACAAGCATGCACACACAAACACACACACACACACACACAGGCACATAAAGGAAACCCTGGCCTAAGCTATAGATGTTTGACTTGCAATTAGAACCACCACAGTGTTTGAATGGATTATGGCACTGCACCCTCTTCAATGCAAATACGTTCTCTGTATCTTTACCATTTAAAGTCACACGTTCTAAGCTAAGCTTGTTTCATATTCTATCAGACCTGGGTTCAAATGCTATTTGAAATCTTTCAAATACTTTGAGCGTTTGGTCTAGCCTGCCTAGAGTGACAGATGTGTGGGATTTGCAGTTTTAAGACAATTCTGTTGGGTCATTAAACCAGGCAAGCTCAATCAAGCACATATCAAGTATTTGGACCTATGTCTGTAACCTATACCACCACAAACTATTCAACATCGGTGCTAATACAAGTTAGTAGCACTTCTACCTCAGTGTTTTGAAAGCAATAACCTTTGACCTTTCTGTCCCTTGCAGATCACTGACATGGCCCACAACCAAACCATCCCCCTCACAAAACCCTCCTCGTCCCTTTCTCTGTTCTCCTCCTCCACGCCCCCCATCCTGTTCCTGTCCGCCTCCAACCACATCCTGAACACCACCATGTCTGTTTTTGCGGCGAACCAAAGCATTGTGGGTAATACCACCTCCACAACAGTAGGGGCGCTCATTTTGGGTCTGGTGTTTCTCCTTGGCGTCCCCGGCAACCTTTTCATCATCTGGAGTATCCTGGCCCGCGCCCGCCGCCGATCTGTCACCACCCTCCTCATCCTCAATCTGGCAGCGGCCGACGGCTCGCTCATGGCGCTCACGCCGTTCTTCGTCGTGTACCTTGTGAAGAGCTGGATTTTTGGCAACATCATGTGCAAGGTAGGGGCTCTTCTTTTTGTTGATTGCTGCATTCCAGGCTGACTACACTGTAGACATCTGCCAGATCTCACAACGCCTGTATAGGTGTTTAACATATCTGCTAACCACACCATATGATATAGCAATCTGATGCCCGACTGCGCAGTCCATGATGTAGCATGCAACCATTGGTTGATGCAATGCAATGACTGCAATGTAGTCGGCCTGGAACGCAACCAATATGTAAATGTTGAAATGATGTAATTTTCTGTCCAGGTGTTTGAAAACACCATTGACACTTGACATGCAGTTAGTACTTTTTCATTGAATCCTTATCCTTTTGAAATGACAAGAAGAAGCTGCTTTCTTTTTGTCTGTATCAGATACTCTTCTACCTGTGCCTGGCCAACATGTACGCCTCCATCCAGCTGATCATGCTGATGAGCCTGCACAGGCTGGTGGCCGTGGTGTGGCCGCGGCGCGTTGCTGCCCTCGCTGGTCGGAAGGCGGTACTGCGGGGTGTGCTGGTATTGTGGATCCTGGTGCTAGTTGCGTCCATCCCCGTGTTGCTGTTCAGGGGCCAACTGATGGCCACGTACCCCAACGGGAGGAGCCGTATGGTGTGTGAGTCATTACACAAGCAGCAGAGTCAAGTGAGTGACTTACTTCCTTATTTACTGACTGACTGACTGACTGACTGAATTACTGACTGACTCACTGACTGAATTACTGACTGACTCACTGACTGAATTACTGACTGACTCACTGACTGAATTACTGACTGATTGACTAACCGACTGATTGACTGACTGACTGATTGACTAACCGACTGATTGACTGACTGAATCCTTACTTAGTTTGCTAATTATCTTCATTCCTGGAGTGAGTGACAGGGGAGGGGTAAAGAGCAACAAATCAAACCATCAATCAGGTGGTGGAAAAAAAAGTACAGACTTTTCATGACAGCTTTCTATCACCATAGTTTATTCACATTCTTATCGGTAGTCAGATCATCCATAAAAACATTTTATTTTGATTGACTGACTGAATTACTTACTGGCTGACTGATTGACTGACTGAATTACTGACTGACTGACTGATTTACTGAATTACTTATTGACTGACTGAATTACTGACTGACTGACTGACTGAATCATTGACTGACTGACACTGATTGTCTGACTGAATTACTTACTGACTGATTGACTGACTGACTGATTGACGACTGGCTGATTGACTGAATTACTGACTGGCTGATTGGCTGACTGACTAACTAATTGACTGACTGACTGACTGTTTGACTGACTCACTGACTGAATTACTGACTGACTGACTGACAGATTGACTGACTGACTGATTGACTAACCGAATGATTGACTGATTGACTGACTGAATTACTTACTTACTTTACTAATTATCTTTATTCCTGGAGTGAGTGACAGGGGAGGGGTAAAAAGCAACCAATCAAACCATGAATGTATATCAGGTAACAGAAGAAAAACATACTGACTTTTCATGACAGCTTTCTATCACCGTAGTTACCTGTTTATTCACATTCTTATCGGTAGTCAGATCATCCATAAAAACATTTAAAGGTATGGAGTTTACAGTACATTGATTTTGTGTATATAGTGTCATTGACGCTAACCAATCAAGCTGTCAATCAAGGTGTTCTCTATGCTGATACTGTACACGCCCTGTTCCCTCAGCGCAGGTGGTGGTCCAGTACACGTTGGAGACGGTGCTGGGATTTGTAGTTCCTTACGGGGTGATTGTAGGCAGCTACATCTGCATCCTGCGGAGGATCAGACAGACCAGGTCCACTGTTGTTTTACTATCTTCATTTTATTTCTGTCTTCATTTCATATCTGTATTGTTTTGATCTTTCTCACTTTGTATCATTAGTGGTTCAAGCCAGCGAAGTGAAACCCTATTGTATTGGTTGGCGTTCATTATTATTATTCGGGTTCTTCCATACATTTTGTGAAAAAATCTAAATTCCTGTTTGATGGTAAGGCCCAGGAGGGTGCAACTTTGCATGATGGTAAAGGGCCCAGGGCCACACGCGCTCATGCAATGCCAGTTGGCCACATGGTGGTGCTAAAACAAGCGATTGAAAATGCAAACTTTTGAAATTCTGTTCATTTGCCTCAAGGACCATTAAGGTCTGCCATGTTTGATTTTCCACTATTTGGTATTTTTTGAAAAACACTTAAAACTCTACTCCTATGGCACTGAATGACCAATCTGCACGAAACTTGATATATGGCCTCTATGGACCAAGCTCGCACAAATGATATTTTTTCCAGCATCTCAAAAAACATGGCCCCTGCTGACCAATAAACATTCACATGGACATAGTCTGGAACGTAAATGTATATAACTCCTATATGGCTATTCATGTTGTATCAAAACTTGGTGCACATGTTATAAACAATGTCAAGACTCAACCTATCTAAGCACATTCAGATAGACCACACGGTGGCGCTATAACGGGCACATGTTTATATTTCTTGATCTGTTGGACTCAGAGTGATACAATTTGGGCCACATGCTCAGGGATACAAGTCAAGCTAACCTGTAGAGGATGGTTCAGTTTGGCCGCATGGTGGTGCTGTTGGTCAGGAAAAATATTTTATTCAAGCTCATAGCGGCCATATTGTTTGAGCAAGAGTCTTGGAAAACATCAACATTATAAAAAATAGTCCAAAATACATTTTTGGCGTATTGCATGATCTGTTTTATTTTGAGTTCTGATAATTGGCAAGTGTGGTAAGGAGTACAGAAGTACCTCAACCTAGGTCGATGTGTCCAATTTGTCCTGATGGTGGCAAAGTGGGCCCACAGCTTGAATCCCGGCATTGCTGATTGCAGCTATATTTTTATTTATGTTTGTTAAGCACTTTGAACTGCATTTTATGTAAGAAATGTGCTGTATAAATAAAGTTTTATTTTATTTGACCAGGTTCAGGAGAAGGATCCACAGTGAGAAACTCATCCTAACCATCGTGGTCACCTTTGGAATCTTCTGGCTGCCCTACCATGTCATCAATATTGTGCAGGTGGGGTGTGTGTATGTGTGTGTTGTGTGTGTGTGCATGCGCGCACGTGTGTGACTGTGTGCTTGCGTGTGTATGTCTTTCTCTGTGTGTGTGTGTGTGTGTGTGTGTGTGTCTGAGTTATAGCCAGGGCCTCACACTCCTTAGCGGGGCTAAAACAGCAGGTGCTGCTGTAACTGGCCTGTCTGTTATGATGAAATCTGTTCTCATAGATTAAATACGTCCTTACAGGTTGCTGCAGCACTTTCTCCGAACGATTCAGCTATAAAAGCAAGGTAGGCTTACTGAAAGGTTTTCTTAAATGACTGTTTCATAAGATCCTCACCTCACTACATTTATCATTTGTAGTGTCATAATATCCTTTACTTAATTGTATTGTTATCCCTAACTAAATGTTCATAAAAACAATGAACAACCATTTTTTTCTGTTTTCATATCCACCCTCCAGACTGGACCTTATCTGGAAGTCCAGCCGTGTGGTCACATCGACACTTGCATTCATCAGCAGCTGTGCCAATCCAGTCCTCTATACCTTCGCCGGCAAGTCCTACATCCGGCGGGAAGGCTTTGCCTTCATGGCCCGTCTGTTCGAGGGCACTGCGCTGGACTCCGGGACCAGGAAGAACCGACAGAACAGCCAGAACAGCCGAGAGAGAGACAGGGACACAGAGGGGGTCGGGCTGAAGGAAAAGGAGCTAGAATCCACGACCAGCGCCAGCGCCAATGTTGTGAGCCCCATCAGTGTGAAGCCTGTGAAAAATGGCAAATAATGACCCTTACAGGAACTGGATGCTATTGTGGCGGAAGCTGTTTTGGAGGGATAACACTGCCTAAGACGGGTGGTTTCCTGCAGTTCACCAGGCGGCCACTAGAGGTGTGTACAAGTCATGTTCCCTAATGGTTATGACTGACTGACTGAACGTTATTATGTTTTTAGAGGTGGTGATTCAAGCTCAGGAGGGATGGGGGAGAATTTTGTAAATGATCTTAGCAGTATGTTTTGTCTGACTGTCTCTCTCTCTCTATTTGTGTGTGTGTGGTTTACTGCTGTAAGGACAGCAATAAGAGCACTGTAATGTTTTACCAATATTTTCATACTTTTTTTGCTACATTTATTTTCTCAAAATCATTAAGACATGTTGCCATGTTGGGCCAGCAATAAAATAAAACACACTTTTCTCAGATCAGATTTGGCTGTCATTCATTGATTAGGAGACTCTTAAAGGGAGAAAAAGACAGCTCACAGAAGAGTCATGACTGGCTGGCAGGCAATAGCATGCAGGTCCTTCACAGTCTGTTCAGTCATTTCTTTGCCTTCAGGCCATTCTTTTCCCTCTTCCTCCTCCCCCTCTCTTTCTCCTGGAACTGTTCTCCTCTCTTTTAACTCTTCATCCAGCTCCCCACCTCCTCCGTTCTCCTCTTTCTCTCTCCCACTCCCATCATGCTGGTCTCCTGCTGGGCGTGTCCATGTTGGAGGCGGTCCCCTCCAGCAGCTGTGCCCCCTCTCTGTGCCTGCCATGGCGTAGAGCAGAGGGTTGACAGAACTGCTGAGATAAGCTAAAGCGGTGACCACCGCTCTGGCCCTCAGACAGAACCCCAGCAACCCTGGGAATGATCCAGAGAGAACGCCCCCCACCTGAAACAAGGAATCATACGTTTCATTTTGACCTTCAATAATGACAGTACAACATTTGTACGATTTTTATATGAATGTGATTTTTTCAAGTCTCACTCGCAGAGGGTGTGGCATTAGCTCTGGGTCATTATGGCATAGTAACCGTTGCTCACGTGCAGCACATTGACAAGGTGGTACGGAGCCCAAAATAGGGTAAAGGTCGCCACTATCAGGGCGAGGAGGCGGTTGCTCTTCCTGTAGTGGCGGTGGTGGCAGCGGGTGCGGCCGGATGCTCAGGTACGAGTGATGCGTAAGTATCAGACCGCCATGATGCCGAAGGGGACCAGGAACGCAGATAGAAAGACAGAGAAAGAGAGGTAAATCATCAAGTGGTTATGAAATGATTTGTCGTTTAGGTTGAGGAAGTTGCTTAAGACATAATGTTGGCACACTTAACTACCCCTTAACACACACTTATGCAAAGTTGAGACACATGTCAACTCCTCCTCACAGAAAGGCACATTGACATTATCCAACACAAATGCAACATATCAGAGACTAACAATCCATACTTTTCAAGACCTTAAAACTTCAATGTCCCATTCCACAATTTCTTTTGCAATTCTAAAACTCATTCATAAAAATGATGCAAATAAGAAAATACCTCTTATCTCTTCAGCGTCCCATTAATATGTACTAGTAGGCCTACTTGGCTTCCTCATCATGTTGTTTCCTGAATTCTCACAGTTCCTGTAAGGTTCTGTATTTATTTTCTTAGTTCACCTTGGGTTCTTGAACGTAGCCCTGGAGGAAATCTGCCATCTTCTCCGCCAGCCTATCCCTACTCCTCCGATGCCAGGTATCGTATCCCATAGCCCTCCTTCATTCATATCCATGCCTGGAAAATATGGCGGTTCACCTGGGAAATGTCAGGGATTTCTGATGCAATGCAGCAAATACATTGAGCACAACCCCACTAACAGTGGTCCTCTGTAGCTCAATTGGTAGAGCATGGCGCTTGTAACGCCAGGGTAGTGGGTTCGATCCCCGGGACCACCCATACGTAAAAATGTATGCACACGTGACTGTAAGTCGCTTTGGATAAAAGCATCTGCTAAATGGCTTATTATTATTATTATTAACTTCGCCACCGACAAGAGCAGGGTGGATTTTGTTGTGTCTCTACTCACAGGCAAAGCCCTGGATTGAGCCACCGCCATATGGACTGCCAACAGCACAGAACTCGGCTCCGAGACCCATTTCCACACCCTCTTCAAAGAGGTATTCGATCACTCTCCTTCCGGTCGTCCTATAGGAGACCTCCTCATAGAACTTCAACAAGGACACAATTCAGCTGCCGAGTATGCCTTCGAGTTCTGCACCATGGCTGCAGGGAGTGGATGGCCTGTAGAGGTGACCTTCAGGATTTAAATCAATGCATTCGTATGTCCATCTCCATCGACCACCTCATCGCCGACCACAGAAGAACTCTGCCACCCAGGAACCTGAAACCTTCTCTTTCCATGATTCCGCCATCCTGTCCGAGTCTTCCAGAGCCCATTCAGTTGGGCCATGCTCCTCTCCCGTGTATCGAACGTCAAAGGCAGATCCAAGAAGGGCTCTGCCTATACTGTGGAGGGAAAGATCATCTACTTAGCCATTGCCCTGTTCGCCCCCCACGGAGAGATGAGAAGGGTCCCTCCGCTGCCATGCAGGTAGAGGTGTCCTTATTTCTAAATATCTCCCAGAAGCAATTCTCCATCCCAGTATTGATAACCGTGAAGGGGGTTACTAAGTACGTAGAGGGCTTTATAGATTCGTGAGCAGCAGGTAATTATATAGATCACCAGCTAGTACAAGAGCTTGACATTGATCTAACACCTGTCACCCCTCCCTTAAGGATTAACACCCTGGATGGGCAGCCATTGGGCACGGGCTTTATTACGCACCTGACACAGAGCATCACCCTTCAGATTGGAGTCTTCCACAACGAAACCATTCAACTCATGGAACTCTCATCCCCCAAACAGCCACTCATCCTTGGACACCCCTGGCTTTGTCGTCACGACCCTGCCATCTCGTGGCGACAAGGTGAACTACTGTCCTGGTCTTCTACCTGCTTCACCAGTTGTCTCAGCCTACCCTGCAGAGCCACCACCATTGAGGACTCTGCCTCTGCAGTGCCACCCACCATACCATCTGAATACGCCCAGTACAGTAATGTCTTCGGCAAAATCAAGGCCTCCACTCTGCCACCACATTGCCCAGGGGACTGTGCTATTGACTTACTCCCTGGAGTGTCCCCACCGAAAGGCCATGATTACTCCCTCTCTATCCCGGAAAATGAGACAATGGAGAACTACATTGATGAAACACTCAAACGGTTTCATTCGTCCTTCTTCTTCCCCGGCTGCGTCCAGCTTCTTCTTCTTTGAAAAAAAGTATGGTTGTCTCCGTCCATGTATTGATTACCGTTCCCTGAATGACGTCACGGTCAATAACAGTTTCCCTCTGATCCCAGCGACCCTTGAACAAGTGGGCCGCGCCAACATCTATACAAAACTCGACCTGCGAAGTGCATATATCTTTGTCCGTATACGTGAAGGCGACAAATGGAAGTCAGCCTTTATCACCGCACGAGGGCACTACGAATACCTGGTCATGCCCTATGGCCTTACTAATGTCCCCGCCGTCTTCCAATCCTTTATGAACAAGGTTTTCCAGGATATGATCAACCGCTTTCTCATCGTCTACATTGGTGACATCCTGATTTACTCCCTCTCCCTGAAGGAACACATACAGCATGTACAAAAGGTTCTTCAAAGGCTCCTTGACCATAACCTTTATGTGAAGACTGAAAAGAGCACCTTCCATGTAACCTCTATAAACTTCCTCGGTTTCGGAGGGGTCGGAGGGGTCAGCATGGATGAGAACAAAGTCACCGGCGTCAGTAACTGGCCCAAACCCACCACCGTTAAGGAACTCCAACGTTTCATTGGGTTCTCCAACTACTATCGCCGGTTCATTCGGAACTTCAGTTCTACTGCCGCTCCCCTCACTGCCCTTACCAGCCAAAAGACCCGGACCCTTCAATGGACTGATACCACCCTGACTGTTTTCAACACCTTGAAACGCCTCTTCACCTCAGCTCCTGTCCTTCGCCATCCTGATCTGACCCTTCCTTTCACCCTGGAGGTGGATGCCTCCGAAGTAGGAGTATGAGCCATACTCTCACAGCGGGTGGGAACACCTCCAAAATCACATCCCTGTGCCTTCTTCTCCAGAAAGTTATCCTCCGCTGAGAGGAATTATGATGTGGGGAACAGAGAACTCCTCGCCATCAAGCTGGCCCTCGAGGAGTGGCACCACTGGTTGGAGGGCGCACAACATCCCTTTCTCGTCCTAACAGATCATCGTAATCTGGAATATATCAGAGGGGTCAAGAGGTTAAACTCCAGACAAGCCCGCTGGGCTCTCTTCACACGCTTCCATTTTCATGTTACTTACATCCCTGGAAAGAAAAACGTAAAAGCTGATGCTCTCTCCCGCCAGTTTGACCTTCTGACCAGTAACTCAGAACCTACACCCATTTTTCCTTCCTCTTGCATTATGGGACCGGTACAGTGGGAGGTTCACTCTGCCATACAAGAAGCCCTAACCTCAGACCCGGCTCCTCCTGAGACACCAGCTGGGAAGAGTTACGTACCAGCTGCTGTTAGACCCCAACTGACGCAATGGTGTCACACGTCCTTGGGGTCAGGACATCTGGGCATTACACGAACCACTGAACTTCTAGCCCGTAAGTTATTGTGGTCCTCACTGGCATCCGACATAAGGGATTACGTACTCTCCTGTCCAGTCTGTGCCCAAACCAAAAGCCCTCGTCATCTCCCTTCCGTTAAGCTTCAACCTTTGCCAATCCCTCACAGACCCTGGTCCCACATAGCTGTTGACTTCATCACAGACCTTCCTGAATCCTCTGGTAACACCACTATCCTTGTCATAGTAGACCGTTTTTCAAAAATGTGTCGTCTGGTTCCTCTTCCTCATTTACCTAACGTCATGGAATTGGCTGAGTGTATGTTCCAGCAGGTGTTCCGTCTGTATGGGATTCTGGAGGACATTGTCTCTGACCGCGGGCCCCAGTTTGTCTCCTGGGTGTGGCAAGCCCTCTGTGACTGACTATGGGTCGCCCTCAGCCTCTCCTCCGGGTACCATCCCCAGACCAACGGGCAGACGGAACGCCTGAACCAAGAAATAGAGAAGTACCTTCCGACTGGAGTCGATATATGGCCTGGGCCGAATACGCTCAGAACTCACTCATGCATTCATCTATCCACCTTACTCCATTTCAGTGTGTACTTGGTTACCAACCCCCCCATGTTTCCCTGGGAGGCGGAGCCTGGTACTGTCCTAGCTATCTACATTGTAGAATAATAGTGAAGACATCAAAACTATGCAATAACACAAATGGAATCATGTAGTAGCCAAAAAAGTGTTAAACAAATCCAAATATATTTGAGATTTTCAAATAGCCATCCATCGCCTTGATGACAGCTTTGCACACTCTGAGC